GAATCAAGAAACATGGAATGTCTCAAAGCCGATCTCCCGTCTGCAGGTCTTCCCCCTTGTCAATCCTCCCACAGCAGACATGCCCGGTGTTGTGTTCGAGGACCCCTGTTTACTGGTGTCATTGGACCACAGAGACCCATGTTTTGAGAATGTGGGCTAATAGTGTAGTGTAGGATGGGCGGCTACACATGTTGTAAGTTCTGCAAGACACTAGTCCAAGTGGGACGAATTAGTCCGACTTGCCATCGACCTGTCGTCGTGTAAGCCGAACGGCCGACCGTCCGCGCTGATTGATGTAACGTCAGATGAGAAGTCGCAATGCGGGCAAAAATAGATTTGCTTTCCTCCTTGCTTGGTTGCTTCTCCCAACCTTGTCCTTTTTTTCTTCTTTCCGGGAACGGTATGGTTCGTTGTATGCAGAAATAGGCGAAGTGATAGTTGGGCAAATATTAGGATCTAGACCAGTCTCTATGTAGCGAGTATTCGGTTCTTTCCAATAGGGCAAATTAGGTTGCTCATAGATGGGAGGTGGCATCGAAATCGAATACCTACATATCGAGGAAGGACGACGACCGACGAAAGAGGGGAAGTTAGTCCAGCCTGTTCATGTCTTCATGAAGCTTGGAAGGAGAGCTGTCATTGGAACACAGATCAGTGTCGCCATGACAAACCAAGTACGGATGCCGTGTTGCCCGTCCGTTCGGCTGTGGTGGAAGGTTACTTGCGATCTTACAAGTTCAGACACCAGAATGTCGAGTCAATGCTTGCGAGACGTGTCCTAGAGATGTCTGGAAAAGGATGAGACCAGATGTTACCTTGTTGTTGAAGGAGAATATTGTCTAAATTGCCTACTTACCGAAGTCATGCTCTTGCTAGGGCGAAAGTTGAGAGCGAGGAGAATTACTGAGTGTTGTTCATCACTGTTGAAGAGTAACTCCGGCTGGAAGAAACACCGGCTCACCGACAGCCTAAACAAGTTAAACACCCACATCACCAAACCTCCCTTACATCTACACATTTTCATCAGCCTGACAACGAACATTTTAGAACACCTTGGCATCCATCTTCCCAAACGAAACCAAACTAGTAGCGTACTATGTAGGTACTTGTAAAAAAACAAAAAAAAAGTCATACCTACTTACCATCACCACGAGGAAAATTAGATTGCCCACCCCTACCTTACCGACTCCAACTTGCCATGCATATGAAGATCTCGCCTATGGGAAATCGCAAATCATGGTGTCATCTTGATTTTCCCCATTAGAACTTCGGAAATACCGGTGCCACGACAGGACACCTGCAATCATGGAGGGCGGCCGCGGTAGACGGCCGGCGTCTATTTTGTTCAATGGCCAACCAAATGGGTTTGCGCTGTACCGTCATTGGGTGGACGTGTGTTGTGGTACAGCGAGAGTGTACAGGTAGGTAGGTAGGTGCGTAACGATGATAGATGGGATGGAAGTTGAGGAACAAATGAAAATAGGTGGTTGCTTGGGAGATAGTTGGCTTCGTTCCATGGGTGGGTTGAGCGGGCGGGAGTGACGAGATCTTGTTCCTATGCAGTCAGTTGTCGTATCACGCGGGATGGCACTTTCTGCTTGTTTAATTGACCGATCACCGCTACTTGGTCATGGAGATCTTCCAAAACTGAAGGTATTATACAATAGTACAAGTTATCTATCCTAACTGACCACTCGACTCGCTTCGCAACCACCCTCTTGAAGCCTTCGCTGGCACCAAAACCCAACCCAATAAGGGAGCACTCTTCATGGACCACAACGAAGCCACCACATGGATCCGAAGGAAGCCCTCGGATTTGGCCAACCAGGCATGTCAGGGTCACTTCTCCGGCCTAGTATTCCCGCAGGCGCTCACGGCACGGTAGCTCAGATCTTGGCCTTCCCGTAGGACCCTCCAAGACCTCCTTCTTCATCTTGTCATATCCGAATTCCGACCACCTTCCATAGCACTACCGCTCCAATCATCCATTTTTTACTACATGATGTACTTGCTTGATGTTGGTATGGTTGTTTCGAAACGAGACCAGCATGTGAGCGCAATCTCTCTTATCGATCCAAGAAAAACAT